CAACTCACCTTCGTCCGCCATTTCCACGCAATGTCCACGCAATCTAGAACACCTTCCTCTCACGTCTTCTTGTTGTCTCCTCTGCCACGATCGTCTCCCTGTTCTCCCCTCCCCCGGCGCACTCTTCTCAACGTCGACGGACGTCTGCACCTTCCAATCTCTCTCTCTCTCTCTCTCTCTCTCTCTCTCTCTCTCTCTCTCTCTCTCTCTCTCTAGTCGAACTGGACGTCTGCACCTGCCAATCTATATCTCCCTCTCTCTCCCTTTCCCTCTCTCTCTCTCTCTGCCTCGCTCTCTCTCTCGTCGAACCGAGCGCAGCGAGCACCACATTGTGAAGCGCCAAAAGTCGACGCATGCAAACATCAGGAAGCAGCACCCTAACGCACAGGCCGAACCGAAACATCAGGAAGCAGCACCAGAACGTGCAGGCCAAACCGGTGACGGTCGTTGGGATTGTCGGGCGGGCCCGGGTTGGACGACCAGATAGAAGTTTCGGGAATCGTCTGGCGCAGATCCCCGAAACTTCTATCTGGCCGTCCTACCCGGGCCCGCTCGGCAATCCCAACGGCCATCACCGGTTCGGCCCGCCCCGAGGATCTCACGCGGTATCTGTTGGGCCCGCGGGTCACAGTTTCGTGACAGCGACTGTATGTGACCGTTCTTTCATAGTGTTCGGAGCAGAGATTGTAGTGTATGTGTGCTAATGAAACTGTACCTGTATGGGGACACAACGGCATGGCACAGCCACCATCCTTTGGAGGAGCCCCCTAACTACCCGCACCCGAATGCGTGCTGTGTGTGTCTGTGTGATGATGTACGCGTGTGTGCGCATGTGTATGTGTGTGTGTGCGGGGGGAGAAGTGCAAGATAACTTGTCACAGTGGTCGTGGCAGAGGCTAGCAGTGACGATTCTTTTGTAATGTTCGGAGCAGAGACTGTAGGGTATGCAAGCTAACCGAACTGTCCCTGTCTGGGGACACAACGGCATGGCACAGCCACCGTCCTTTGGAGGGGCGCCTTAACTATCCGCACCCGAATGTGTATTGTGTGTGTCTGTGTGATGATGTATGTGTGTGTGCGCATGTGTGTATGTGTGTGCATGCATGTTGTTAAGAGATGGCAAACATGGGATGAATGTGTGCAGTCGTCTCCTAGTCTCATTTGTGAGGATGCATTCCTTGAGTGGATGTGAAGAATTAATGAATTCTAATAACGAATTCGACTGTTCCTTTGTTTCCCGTTTTTCAGATACGACTTCGCATTCATTGATGCAGACAAGAAGAACTACATCAACTACTATGAGCTCTTACTGCAACTAGTGAGTCGATCTCTGGCCTCTCTGAGTCTATTCAGGAGAACTTCATTACGCATCCGGGTAACCCACCTGCTGTAATATCTTCCATAGCTGTGAGGGCATTGATGAAAGTTTGAGGTGGAGAGCATTTCTGAGGGTGCATTTTGGTATTGGAGCGAGATTCTTGGTCCTCTTGCGCATTGAGGACCGGATTATGAGAGAGAGAGAGAGAGAGAGAGAGAGAGAGAGAGAGAGAGAGAGAGAGAGAGAGAGAGAGAGAGAGAGAGAGAGAGAGAGAGAGAGAGA